GCCGTGTTCCGTGTCCGCTGGGCTCTCCGCTCCAGCCTGTGGCCTCCACAGGGCTCCGTGTGTGGTCTGTGCGGGAACTTCGACCAGCGCTCCAACAATGACTTCACCACGCGGGACCACATGGTGGTGGAGAGCGAGCTGGACTTCGGGAACAGCTGGAAGGAGGCGCCCACCTGCCCCGACTCGGGCAGCACCCCAGACCCCTGCTCCAAGAACCCGCACCGCCGGGCCTGGGCCGAGAAGCAGTGCAGCATCATCAAGGGCGCCGTCTTCCAAGTCTGCCACAGCAAGGTGGGCGCCCCGGCGCGGCCCATGGGGCGCCTCCTGAGCTGGCTGTCCTGCCCTCAGCCACAGCCCTCAGGTTCAGCTCCTCCTCCATGTCCCTTGCCCGGGTGGCCAGCCTTCCTTCGGGGCCCTCCTGGCCCCCGGGCTGTGGAGCGCAAGGGGTGAGGCTTGGGATTACTCTCCATGGCCCCCGGGCATGGCAGACCCCTCCTCCCGTGGGCTCTGGCCTCTGCTGTCAGCGGCCCTGCGGGCCACCCTGTCCAGGAGCAGAGCAGGAGCCCCAGGGGGAGCCCCAGCAGGGTGGCGGGACCCGGGCCCAGCACGGCTTCTCCCCAGGTGGACCCCAAGCCCTTCTACGAGGCCTGCGTGCAGGACTCCTGCTCCTGCGACTCCGGCGGGGACTGCGAGTGCTTCTGCTCGGCCGTGGCCGCCTACGCCCAGGAGTGCACCAAGGCGGGAGCCTGCGTGTTCTGGAGGACGCCCGACCTGTGCCGTGAGCGCTGGTGGGGGGCGCCGCGCGGGGGGCCGCGAGGGGGCGCGGCCCGGCCTGGCCCTGACGGCGCCGCCCCCCGCAGCCGTGTTCTGCGACTATTACAACCCCCCCGACGAGTGCGAGTGGCACTACGAGCCCTGCGGGAACCGCAGCCTGGAGACCTGCCGCACGGTCAACGGCATCCACTCCAACATCTCCGTGTCCTACCTGGAGGGTGAGCGCCGGCCTCGGGGCCTGGGGGCCGAGGCCCAGGGCGCAACAGCCTCCCTCGCCGCCCCGCGGGCGCG